TGCCAGGAGTTCAATTCTGAGCAGCTCAAGGTTTACTTGGCCTTCCATCCTTCCAATGTCGGTTAAATTGAGGACCCAGATTGTTGGGAGCAACCCTGTTTCCCCAAAAATAAGACATCCCCTGATAATAAGCCCAATCAGGCTTTTGAGCGCATGGCATAAGGCCAGCATTTATTTCAGGGTTCAAAAAAATATAAGTCAGGGTCTTATTTTGGGAAAACGCGGTATATGCTGACTCTGCAAACAGTTTAGAGAGGGCTGTAAAGCACGTGAAGTGGTATATAAGTCTAAGTGGTATTGCTGTTGCAGACTCACTCTGCCCACTGCCAGGAGTTCAATTCTGAGCAGCTCAAGGTTTACTTGCCTTCCATCCTTCAATGTCGGTAAAAGAGGACCCAGATTGTTGGGAGCAACCCTGTTTCCCCAAAATAAGACATCCCCTGATAATAAGCCCAATCAGGCTTTTGAGCGCATGGCAATAAGGCCAAGCATTTATTTCAGGGTTCAAAAAAATATAAGTCAGGGTTTATTTTGGGGAAAACGCGGTATATGCTGACTCTGCAAACAGTTTAGAGTGAGGGCTGTAAAGCACGTGAAGTGGTATATAAGTCTAAGTGTATTGCTGTTGCAGACTCACTCTGCCCACTGCCAGGAGTTCAATTCTGAGCAGCTCAAGGTTTACTTGGCCTTCCATCCTTCCAATGTCGGTAAAATGAGGACCCAGATTGTTGGGAGCAACCCTGTTTCCCCCAAAATAAGACATCCCCTGATAATAAGCCCAATCAGGCTTTTGAGCGCATGGCAATAAGGCCAAGCATTATTTTCAGGGTTCAAAAAAATATAAGTCAGGGTCTTATTTTCGGGAAAACGCGGTATATTCTGACTCTGCAAACAGTTTAGAGAGGGCTGTAAAGCACTGTGAAGTGGTATAAGTCTACGTGGTATTGCTGTTACAGACTCAGTCTGCCCACTGCCAGGAGTTTGATCCTGACCGAGTCAAGATTGGCTCAGCCTTTCATCCTTCTGAGGTCGGTAAAATGAAGACCCAGTTTGTTAGGGGCCATATGCCGATTTTGTAAACTGCTTAGAGAGGGTTGTAAAGCAATGTGAAGTGGGATATAATGTAAGTCTATTGCTATAAGTGCTATTTTGTTTTCAAGGCACAAGAGTTATATCCAAGCATCCAAAACCTGCTGGACAAAGCTAGAAATGAGTAAATAAGGCAGACATTCCACAGGAATGCACTGATCAGCATGGATAGTTGGTCCAGTATTGATCTTGGTGTTAATTTCCACTTATCTGGAAACTGATTGCTGGTGAGGATGTCTTTTAGTCCTCTTGTTTCCCCTTTGGCTTTTTGATTATCTCTTTTAAATGGTATGTAGATGTTATTTATCTCAATATGCCTGTTGATAGCTGAGAGGAACCACCAAGCACACTCTACCAACACTATAGCCACTATATATAAAACAGAACGAACCCCATTCTCTTCTAGCACTGATGATGTTACCTAGTTTGGGTAATGAAACATCTTCAAGAAAACAACCGAGCTCAGTAAGCACCAAGAACCCCCCTCATTCAATATGTACAATCAGACATATTTTTACCCTTCCTTCTGAGTTGATTTCCTGGTCTGGGTCATTTAATGGGGCTGTCACTATATAACAGGAGACAGCAGAGGAAAAATAGGATTAGAAATAATGAGCTGCTTTGTCAAAAAAATGTTGTACAGCAGAAACCTGAGAATGAGGGTGGAGAATTAAGTGAATGCAAAGGAATAAAGGGGTAATTAATGAAGAAAAATCTGATTATAGTAGCCATAGAGAGCAAGTAAAAAGTAAAGCGGATTCTTAGAATGAAGATAATGCAAATTAGCTCTGATCTATATCTCACAGCCACCTAGTAACATGAGTAGCCTTCCAGCCTCAGCTGGGCTAATATTGACCAACAATCAAGAGGCAAACAATACCCCAATCAAGGAAGTACTAAATCAGACAAATAAATTAACAGTAAGCAATAGCCTAATCCAGGAACCACCAAGAACACTCCGACCAACACTGACAGGACAAGCCACTTGTATATTAACAAAGAGAAAACCCCACTCCCTTCTAGCACTGATGATGTTACCTAATTGGGTAATGAAACGTCTGCAAGAAAACAACCAAGCTCAGAGAGCACCAAGGACCCAAGTATTCAACCCTGACCTACAATTATTCTAGCGATTCTGTATTCTGATAACATCTAGAGATCTGTGGCCAAAGCCGCCCTGAGTCTTCGGAGAGGGGCGGCATACAAATTGAATTAATAAATTAATTAATTAATAAAATGACTCAAACAGAATCCTGAAGTTTAGATTGCCGTATTTTTTGGAGTATAAAACACACTTTTTTCCCTCCTAAAAGAGGCTGAAAATTTGGGTGTGTCTTATACTCCAAATGTAACCCCGCACGCGTTGTCCAAAATGGCTACCCGGAACAGATGCTGCCTTCTCTTACCTCTTCCACGCTTCACCTGCTTTAGTCACTGGAGCTCCCTCGATGATCAGCTGTGCTTTAGAAGCTGTATTTTAGCCCCAACCAGCCCCAATCTCAAAACCAGCAAGCGAACTAATGTGCTGAAGCTGACCAGGCTAAGGACTAGCCAGATGAATACCTGGGAGGCAAAAAATTTTTGTCCTATTTTCTTACCCAAAAACTAAGGTGCATCTTATACGCTGAAAAATACGGTATGTGTCAAGTTAGTGTCAACCCTTAGTGACCACATAGGTAGACCTTCTCTAGTATAATCTGTCCCCAAACTGGCCCTTTAGAACCGAAGTGTCAAACTCAAGGCCCGGCAAGCCAAATCTGGCCCATGGGGCGCTTAGATCTGGCCTAGGGGGCCGACCTGGAAACGCGGATTGACCCACGGTGCCTCTGCCAGCGAAAACAGAGCTCGGGAGGGTCGCACACTGCCATCCCGAGCTCCATTTTCACTGGCAGAGGATTGCAGGAGGCGGTCACAACCGAAAACGGAGCTTGGGAGCCAGTTTTTGCTTGCAGAGCACTTGGGCCGCCACGGGCGCCCCCGACACGAGTGACGTTGAGCTGGCCACGCCCACCCCAGCCCCCCAAAGTCAAACACAACCCTGATGCGGCTCTCAATGAAATTGAGTTGGATACCCCTGCTTTAGAACGTATCTTCAAATCCTCTACAGCCCTAAACCTGGAGGATTTAATATTCCCCAGCACAAGCCGAGTATATAAGAAAATGTATCCATCGTAATATTGAAAAGTCTTCCCTGACAGTCAGATAATTTTTAAAAAAATCCCAAAGGCACAAAATACATAAGGTTGTAACTGACCCATGACACTTAAAGCAACAAGCTCGCATGAGATCACATTTTTGACTTGACAGAAATATCCATTCAAGCAGCAGGTAAAGAACTAACTGGTCAATCAAATGTTAAGTTTCGCCAGTCACACAGTGCTCCCTAAAGCCAAGACACAAAAGGCCAAATAAAGGATCAATTCGTATTCTCTCTGCTGTGCCAGCAAAGAAAATCCAGGACAAAGCTGACACGGTTAAGCAACAATCCACCGTAATAACCCTCTCCAGAACCGCTAAACAAATTGCTAAACAGACTGCGCTCCGGGGTAGGGAGATCAAAGGACATCTAAGAAAATGGGGCTGCCCTATAGAAGACACTCTGTGCGAATGTAGAGAAGAACAATGTATCTCACATATACTATGATGCATACAATGTCCTTCAACATGTGTGAAGGAAGACCTGATGCTGGCAAGAGAAAACAGCAATGGCACTTAGACTTATATACCTCCTTCACAGTGCTTTACAGCCCTCTCTAAGCGGTTTACAGAGTCAGCATATTGCCCCCCAACAATCTGGCTCCTCATTTTACCCACCTCGGAAGGATGGAAGGCTGAGCCAACCTTGAGCCTGGTGAGATTCGAACTGCCAAATTGCAGGCAGTCCGCAGAAGTAGTCTGCAGTACTGCATTCTAACCACTGCACCACTTCGGCTCTGTCAGCGTGGCCCGATACCCAGCAAATGTTATTTAGTTTTAATACTATTTATTCTGCATACTTTTTACATGGGCTATGTTTCTATGAAGGGGCCACAATGGCTCATTGGTTAAAGATACTGAGTTTGTCAGCTGGAGAGTTGACAGCCCAGGTTCGAGACCCGAGCTCTGAGCAACAGGGTGAGCTCCCGTCACTTGCTCCAGCTCCTGGCTACCTAGCAATTTGAAAACATGCAAATGCGAGTAGGTTAACAGGTACCACTTCAGTGGGAAAGTAACAGAGTTCCCTGTACATGACATTGGATAACCATTTGTTTGAAGTGGTGTAGGGTTTCCTGCCTAAGCAGAGGGTTGGATTAGAAGACCTCCAAGATCCCTTCCAACTCTGTTATTCTATTCTAATCTACCTTGGAATATAAGCATGCTGGCCACAGGACCTTAGAAAATGTCTTCGGACAATGCTGGCTCCCTCGGCCAAGAAACAGAGGTGGGCATGCCTAGAGTTGAAGAAGATTGACAGGGAAATCTTTACCTTTGTATATTTTATTCGCTCAGTATTGAATGTTATATATGTAAGTGCTTCTGACATGAATAAAGAAAGAGATCGAAACTTACTGGTTCGACTAACATCCGAGGCCACCTGCAACCTGCATACCTGGCAAATAAGTTTAATGAATATTTCAAATTCAGCCAGGCTGCCAGTTGGCAGGCAAACGTGAATGACAAATTATTTTTACGTACAAGAAGGCAAGGGGATCTGTTTTGTCCTTGAGCTGCTCAACTCTTAAAAATGCCCAACAGCATCAAAAGAAGGGGAGCTTGTCTTGGCCCTGTGTAGACAAACCCCAATATCTCCTCCGTGAAATGCTTCTTCACTTGGTGTTGTTCACTTGAAATGTTTTAAAACACTGATTTCTGCATTGGGTGGATTGGTGTGTATGTGTGTGTAGGAGATGGAGAGCGGGAAGAGAAATTACCTCTGCAACCTTTGGAGGAACTCCATCTCCGAGAACTTCCCGAATGAAGCATTGTTGGCTCATGTAACACGAGAGTCCGCAGGTCCTCTTGAAGGCATCTTTCAGCCGTTTTAGCTCTACATCCGTCACTGTATCGAACAGAAGAAAAGAGAGAGTAATTAGGCACATTTGCTTTAAATAAGAACACTTTGCACTCCTTAAATCAGGGGTGTCAAACTCAAGGCCCACAGACTGCATCTGGCGCATGGGGCTGCCCTGGAAACAGCGGAATTCCCGTGGTGCCTCTGCCAGTGAAAACGGAGCTTGGGAGAGCCGCGTGCGGGCCTCCCGAGCTCCGTTTTTGCTTGCAGAGGGTTGCAGTATCCTTCCCCTGCCATGCCCACCAAGCCACGCCCACCAAGCCATGCCACGCCCACCAAGCCACACCCACAGAACCGCTGGTAAAAAAAATTGAATCCCACCACTGATCCAAAGACCTCTTGTCTCACAAGGCAAACTCAACCACTTGTCCAGGGGTGAAATGCTCCCGGTTTGGACCAGATCGCTGAGCCCCACCCCCCCATGCCCAGCTGAGCCGCGCAATCTTCAGAGGCTGGGGTTTTTTTACTTTTAAAAGCATTTTTTTCTACAACCTCTTTGGCCGAAAAAATGCTTTTAAAAGTAAAAAAAACAACAACAAAGCCTCTGATGATCGCGCGGCTCAGCTGGGATCGTCAGAGGCTTTTCAAAGCATTTTTTTTCTTTTTTTTTCTTTTTTTTTTATTATTAAAATATAAACACAGATATAAAGACAATACAATACAATACAATGACAAACAAAAAACCCACCACCTACAAACCCACCTAACATTTTACATATACGTTTTTGTCATCAACAGAATATATGTCATTGAGCTTATATAGTTTAATAAAGAGTGATTATTAAATGTCTGATTCCAATGTTATAACCTTACACTACAAGTTTACATTTTTTACAAAGCATTTTTTTCTGCAACCCCTTCGGCCGAAGAGGTTGTAGGAAAAAAAAATGCCTTTAAAAGCCTCTGGCGATCCCAGCTGACTTGCCTGATCGTCAGAGGCTTCTAAAAGCATTTTTTTCTGCATCCTCTTAAGGTTGTAGAAAAAAAGCTTTTAAAAGTAAAAAAAAAAAAAAAAAAAGTTGGCCACGCCCACTGTCACATTACCCTCCCCCAACCAAGCCATGCCCACAGAACCGATAGTAACGAATTTTAGATTTCACCCCTGCACTTGTCCATTTTAGAGACCGTATTCTACCTATGAGGTTGACCACCTTTGAATGTACTGCTGGGTCTTCCTCGAAAGTCTGAATGAAGAGATGCAAGAATAAGCTAGAGTAGTCCTCGGCGTACAGTGATTCATCTAGCAACCGTTCAAAGTTACAGCAGCACTTTAAAAAGTTATATAAGATCGGTCCCTGCACTTATGACTGTTGTAGCATCCCCACCGTCACATGATCAAGATTTGGGTGCTTGGCAACTGGCATGTATTGATGACAGCTGCAGCATCCTGGGGTCATGTGATCACCATTCGTGACTTTCTCAGCCAGCTTCCAAACTGGCAAACTCAATGGGAGGCATCAGATTAATGACGGCATGATTCATTTAACAACTGCAGTCATTTGCTTAACAACCGTGGCCAAAAAGTCATGAAATCAGATGGGACTCACTTAACAATTGCTTTGCCTAGCAACAGAAATGCTGGTCTCAATTGTGGTCATAGGTTGAGAACTATTCATTTATTCCCAGCACAATCTTTCATTTCCAGTCCAATATGCTTTTTCATATGATGGGCCTAATTGACAGCACCTAAAGAATTTCTCCTGATTTCTCTTTCTCTTCTGTTGCAACTCAGCATTTCAAAAACTGCCTCCGTTCAGAATTTTGAACCGAGTAGATGGACAGAGGAATAAAACAAGATTTTTTTTTTAAAAAAAAAAAACCACCCCAGAATACTTATTTTTCAGTTTCACGGCTAAAGTATTTACTGTGTTTCTCTCAGCTCTACAGGAACGTTGCTCATTTGCACTACGATATGAATCTGAAACAGGGGAATTCTCAACCGTGAGAAGAAAAGAATTCTTCTTGATCCCCAATTTTCCTGGATATAAAACGCTAATGCCCCCAAACAAACATCTCCTGAGCTGCCGTGCACTGTTATTATCCTTGCTTACTCACAGAAGGAAATAAAGAGTTGTCACCAAGATAGTTGACAACCATTATCAGCAGCACAAAGCATAGTGGGGCTCAGGTTGATGGGGAGGAGAGAGAGGCTGGCTGCTGCCAGTTCGCGTCGGTTCAAGCGAACCAGGAGTTAAGATTCTGCGCAGTTTGGCGAACCGGCAAATCCCACCACTGGCTGGCCCCGCCCCCGCTCATTTTTCGGCCTGTTTTCCGGGCCGTTTTCAGGCCGTTTTTCGGGCCAGTTTTGTTTTCTCTGAGGAGACAATGAAATCTAAGAAAGGTAGAACCAGGTGGGTTTCATACGCCCCGCGATTGATCCTTGGCAAGAAATACCGTATTTTTCAGAGTATAAGACGCACTTTCCCCCCCCTAAAAGGGGGTGAAAATTTAGATGCGTCTTATACACCGAATGTAGTCCCACCCACCCACTGGCCCCCACCCTTTGGCCTCTGCCTTGCATCAGTTACCTCCTTGCAAGCAAACAGCAAGAAAAAAACAACTCCTTTCAGCTTCAGCACAGCCTAATTAGCACAAGTTGATTCCATTGGCCTCCCGACTCTCAGATGATTTGCTCTCAGCTGTTTTGCGCAGGGCTCTGCTGCTTGCTGCAAAGAGGTAAATTGCTGGAGCAGATTTTTTTTTCCTTGTGCTAATCAAGCTATGCTGAAAATGAAACTGAAAGTAAAACAGGGTGTTTGCTGTTTGCTGCAATGAGGCAAAATTGCTCAGAGGCAGAGGGAGATTTCTTTTTCTTCTTTTCCTCACCCAAAAAGGTAGGTGTGTCTTATACTCCAGTGCGTCTTATACTCCGAAAAATATGGTACTATGCTAATACCTCATTTATATGCCGCCTAGAGTTGCTAACGATCGGTGGCATATAAATTTAATAGATAAATAAAAAGTGATACAAGTGGAGACCTTTGAATCAGAATCGGAGTAGAGCTGAAAGGGACCTTAGAGGTCTTCTAGTCCAGCCCCCTGCTCAAGCAGGAGATCCTATAACCGTGATGGCAAACCTGTGGCACACGTAGTCATATCAGTGGGCACGTGAGCTCAGCTCCGCTAGCTGATTTTTCGGCCTTCTGGGCCCACCAGAAGTAGTGAAACAGGCTATTTCCTGCCTCCGGAGGGCCTCGGGAGGGTGGTGGGGCAGGCCCATTTTTCTCTCTCACCTGGCTCCAGAGCCTCTCTAGGAATCTGGGGAGGGCAAAAACGACCTTCCACATCGCCCCAGAGGTCCTCCAGAGGCCAGAAAAGCCCAGTTTGCCAACTTCCGGTCGCACCACTGCTTATATACCCCTTCACAGTACTTTACAGCCCTCTGTAAGCCATTTACAAAGTAAGCCTCTTGCCCCCAACAATCTGGGTCCTCATTTTACCAACCTCGGAAGAATGGAAAGCTGAGTCAGCAGCTGAGCTGGGTCGATTCTGAGCTGGTCAGAATCGAACTCCTGGAGTTAGCAGTGAGTTAGCCTGTCCATTGTTAGTTAGTTAGTTTCCATCCATTGTTTCTTGTCTTGCCCTCTCTGGTGCTTTGGAAAACAATTTTAACTCCCTCTTCTTTGTGGTAGCCCCCCCAAATACTGGAATACTGCTAGCCAAACCCAAATCCAGCAGCTACTGTCTAGCCTCAGACATAACTTATGAAAATGATATGTAGCCTGCGCCTAGTTCCTAAACTTAAAGCACGCGATCAGCTGTTTCTCTTCCAACTCACTGGCATCTGTGTGATATTGCCTTTCAGTGGGGAATGAGCTGCACAGCTGTTAGCTATGGAGCTGGATGAGGGATATACTCCTTCCCAGAATGAGACTCTTACATGAAATTAAATATTGAAGCTTCATAAATATTGGGGAAGGAATAAAATAGCTGGCGTTATTTAGCGGACTCTTGAAAAGCAAGCGTCAAGGATAAGGCTTCTCAAGCTGGCCAACTTTTAAGAGGTGCGGACTTCAACTCCCAGAATTCCCCAGGGCTCTTGAAATTAATTTACTGATTAAACTTTTGTTTCGGATTCATAACAAGGCTAACCATTAAAAAGGAAGCGCTAAACAAGGAGAAGGAGAAGGAGGAGGAGGAGGAGGAGAAGGAGGAGGAGGAGGAGGAGGAGGATTGTTGTTGTTGTTGTTGTTGTTATTATTATTATAAAAAAGTAAAAAGGGTAGATTTTAATGCCTTATTTTACTGCACCGAAGGAGTTGGGAGTCAATGGCTTTTTTTCCTTTTTCCCTTGCTTTCCCCCCACTATCCATTTCCTTTTTTCCTTTCCCAATTTTCCTAATATTTGCTTTTGGATTCTTTTTGTATGTCATATTATAAAATGAATAAAACTATAAATACTGTCAAGGACCTGATGTAGATGAAGCCTTCGGAATAAATTCGATCTTTTTTCCAGAAGGCCAATTGCACCGCTAACAATCTGACTCTCTGCACCAATAATAAATATAAATATATTGTGAGCTGAACACACACAAGAAAAAAAAACACAAGGATTTTTTTTGTCTTTTGAGATACAGCCAAAACCTAGAACTAGATTCTGATATGCCAGCAGCTTACATGATTTGTAAATAATTATTTCTCTTTCAGCCCACCATGTAGCTGGCACAGATGAAAAGACTTTTAGTTCCAATCTCTATTTCAGAATGTTAAGCAATTAAAAAAAAAACCCCTTAACTGAGATGGGGCAGAACCAGATCTCTCTCTCTCTCCCACAATGCCTGCTCTGTTTGCGGGAGATGCCAGCTTTTAATCTTCTTAAGATTTACTGTCCTTAATAATTAATGGAATGCATACTGCTAGGGCCATTTTCCGGCTTGCAATCCCAGCAATAAAAACTGCCATAAAGACTTTACAAATGGTCTATACCCCCTGCCTCAAAATGAAAAAAAAAAAAAGAGAGAGAGAGAGAGAGAAAGGAGGATGGGAGG